ACCTCTAAAATCCAGATGCTCCATTTTATCCTATATAACCAAAAATATGGATATTTTTAAAATCATAGCCCTGTGCTGACTTCTGGACTGCAATGACAGACAGGAGGCAGAAGGCTGCAACAGACAACTTGGGAACAAGTATAATGGCTTCAGCATGTGTTAAGGCAGGATCACGATGACTGGATAAGGTTACTACAGCCGGCCAAGTCCTGGAGGTGTGCTGGCTGGGCTAGTGGTGAAAATCTTCCTTGGTAAGAAATGTAGAATACACTGCCCAAACCATATCTAGGCAAAATTTTAGCACTGGTATTTAAGCAAGAGTTGAGAGAATCACATTAAGAGCCAGGACTGGATTTAAAAGGCTTTCTTAAACATCTGCGCTAGAGGTTTTGGGTTTTTTTTTAAAAAAAAAGCATCATTGCTATGAAAAGTAAGAGTCAGACCACGACTGTGCAGGGAGGGAGAGGCACCATGAAATGGCCAGTGTTAGGAATCCATAGGGATCTGGGGATGGCAGGGGAGAAAACCCCTGGGCAGGAAGGCACGGCTCTGACACACATCATTTGGTGTGGGAGCAGAGAGGCCGCCTGGTGCAGCCACACGCCGCCCGTGCCACGTGCTTTGGATGTGGGTCGGCCACCTGTGGGCAGCCTCTGTGAGCCACCACATGCCAGTAGGTGTCCAGGTGTCCCAGGCTCTGCTCGGAGCCCCCTGGGGCTGGGATAGCGTGGGGGTCCTCACTGAGACCGTAATAGCTTGGACAAGATGCTGCTGGAGCAGTGCATTAGCAATGCTAAGATCCTGCTGGCTGCTTTGCCTGGCGCCCGGGGCAAACAAACAGCCCTGTGCTGGCTGTGTCCCTGGGTTTTGCTGGCCATGTAGCTGTCTTGCAGCCTTGTAGGCTGTGGGGCTGCAATCACAGGATCTATGTGAAGGAATCTATCATGAAGGAGTGTGGCTTGTCATTCATGTGCTGTGCAAAGGAGACCTATCATTTCAAGTTGAGCCCAAAGTTGTGTGTTTGAAATGTCCCACTCTCCATTGCCATGCTTGCATGCACCAAGCTGACTTTGCTCTAAATTAAATTTCATGGATAAGATTGTACATAGAGAAGATTTTACTTCATAGCCCTCCCAAAACAGCACACTTCCAGAACAAAAGAGGTATAAGCTGTGAATCCAAAGATTGAGACACCATGGTTAAAATGACCGTTCCCCCCCAGGAAGGTGTCAGCAGAGCAGCATGATGCTTGGCTGTCCCGAGGGCTCACCGCATGGCCATGTGTGCAGCATGGTCTGTCTCCCACACCCCCTTCCTCCTCCAAGGGCAGATGCAGTGAGATTGGAAAGGCATATCCCCTCCAGGTGAACTGGGGATGCAAGTAGCTCTCCTGCACAAAGAGGAGCAGCGTGATGCTCGGGGCTCATGTTCCCAGCTGTCCTGGGCTGTCCCTGTCCATTGGCAACTGACACAGGGTGACTCAGGGAAGGTCTTGGAAGTCCTGATGGTCTAGCAGGCAGCCAAGGCACTGGGAGAGCAGGGTGTAAGTGTGGGAAGCCAGAAAATATCCTCCTTCTACTGCCGAGGGCAAGGACGGAGTTGTAAGCAGTGAAGGAGGCACCAAGCAGTCCTGTCAGGCTTGTAAGGGTGCAATGATGCTCACATTACCTCCTTGTCATGGAGATCTTCACAACATGTAACTCAAGGTCTCTCTAGGTTTGATTAGAAACAGACACCCTAAACTTTGCACTGAAACTTTGAGGCCATCTCTAGTTACAGGAAGTCTGGGCATATCCATATGCAGATGTATGCAATTTGTTTCACTTCAGCAGTTAGCATGACTGTTTTGAGGTCAGGGAGCCTGTTCCTAGGGAATGAGAGTTACTTCTTGAGATGCTCAGCCAAGGATGGATGCACGCCATCCCCTCCCTACCCCACCATCCGTGCTCCCTGCCTCCTGCCCTCTATCCCACTGTCGCTGCCCCTCTCACAGAGACAACTCATCCCTACCAGTGCCCACAGGAGCTGGAGGTGAAGGAGCCCATGGGAGCTGCAGCGTGGGAGCATGAAAGCAGCATGGCTGAGCCAGCAAGGAGGGCTCTGGGCTGGTGGCAGGCAGGCATGGGGACACCCACCGTGTGTGCAGCGGGGACAGTTGCTTGGTCCTTGGGGCTGATGTCTTGTGGCTGCTGAAAGCCCTGGGCCCAGCTCCCAGCTGCAGTTTGGGCTATGCAGTCAATAAAATTAGATTAGACCCAGAGCTTTTCTCTGTGTGTGTGTTTGTGCAGACCCTTTCCCACGTAGCTGAGCCACTTGAGCAGATAAGAAACGACAGAGGAGTTCCCAAGAGAAGGCTTCAGGTCTTGTGTTTGCTGCTGCTGGAGTCGCAGGGGACCTGGGAGTTAGGAGGGCAGCCAGCACAAAGGCATAGGGGAAAAGGTACTGAGCTTCCTGACATCATAAATAATAAAAAAAAAAAAGGAAGAAAAAGTTTCCTGGAATACTTTTATTTATGTATTACTCCATCTCTACTGACTTTCATAGGCAGTAGTCCATTGCTGCAGACTTTCTGGAACTGTTTTATTATCACTAGTTTTGAAAATAATAAATATCATGGCTGTAGCATACGATTTACCCAGATTGTCGGGCAGGGCACTGTCTCAGTCCATTTTGGATGGGCCTGTCCACCTGCATCCCCCAGGAATGGCAGAGAAACTCGACCCGTTGGAGAGCACAGGTCCAAAGAGGAGGCAGGGTGGCAGTCACTGGCCTGGACAGCCGTCCTGGCGCCCAGGGAGTATAAATCTTGACAAAATGTTCCTAAGGAACAAAGTGAAGAGAGTTGAGGTGGAAAACATCAGGCTTTGCTGAGCTTTACAGGGAGCTCCTCAAAAGCCTGAGGGAAAAGTGTTAGAGAAAGCAATAGATCTGAAAACACAGTAGGGTAGTAGTGGCAGATAGCTCCTGCATCTCTGGTGCCTTCGTCCCAGTCCTGCCTTCGACTCTTCTGTACTAACTGGGCAATTTTTTTTCTCAAATCTCTTTGATATAGCTAATCCTTCCAAGCTTAAACCTGGGCCTTCCTTGCCCTCATACCTGAGAGTAACAGATACATTTCATCTTCCTGTTTTCATGCCGATCACCTCAATGCAGTCTTTCTGCTACGAAAGTGAGAAAAGGGCGAGGGTATGTGCATCTTCTCACAAGCTTGCACGTGGGCTTTTGGCTGTGAAGCCATGACAGAGCTGTTCACAGAAGGGCTAAACTGCACATATACAGTTAATTAGGTGGTAGGATGTTGTAACAAGGGATGCATGCTGGGAAAAATGGTGACTTCCAAAGACATGAGCTAAGATGCCTAAGCTGGCATTAATGACCCTGGATATGACACTGCTGAGGGAAATCTTCTGGTGGGGATGTCACTAGATGGTGGAGCTTTTTCCCAGAAAGATCAATCCAGGACTGAGAACATTTGAAAACAGGCTAATGTGAAATTTAAAAACCAAAAGATTAGCCAGTTGGCATGATCTTGGCTTGGTAAGGAGAGCATGGATAGGAAGTACCACTGCACCCTTTCCTTCCCAGACCTTTAGGAGCCGAGTGTAGCAGCTCAAGGTTAAACCTTGCAGTAGGGCTACCATGTTTTTTATTGAAAGATCCCAGCCAGAAATGCGGGCAGGCAGGACACCAGGCTGTGCAGCACATGCCGGGTGGGCCAGCTGCTCACACAAATCCTTCTTTTTCTGTTCTGGGGACGACCTGCTACACGAAGCAGTGGCAGCAGGCAAAGGAGAGCCACGGCCACTTGTCATCAGAGGCACTACATGCCACTGGGTCCCCACCAGGATCCTGCTGGTATGGCAATGGTCTTCCTAATGAAAGGGACACCACCCTTGCTGGAGGCAGTAGGTGGGCAGGAGAGGACCCCCATCACAGCACCCTCTGCCTGCACCTGAAAGCACACACACACCTGGTTTCACTCATAGCTGCTAAGCCTTAGAGAGGAACCAGCTCCCTGCAGTGGTTGAAATATCCACCTCCTGCTTTGCCATACTGCTCTCGTATGTCATGGCCCGTTAATTATTAATTGCTCAGGGCAGTCAGGCAGGAACAGCCTCCAAGGCTCCAAGGATCATTTCCATAGGCATCCCACACCAGCCTTTTCTGTGGTGCTGAGTGCCGTTCATGGCCTCTTTGCCGAAAGCAGCGCAAGTCCTTGCAGAAGGCTGTGGGGGTGACCATGAGGTGTCAGTCGGGAACACTCTGCTGGCACACCACCATTACCTGGGGATGTATGAGCAGAAAACAGATTCCACTGAGCACACACGTAGCTGCTACGTGCCCCTGGCTTTCTAGCATGTGTTGGTAGGGGTGCACAGATGGGCTGGGGACTAGGAACTGTCCGCTGAGGCCCAGGTTTGGGCCTCTTTGTCTTCACAGACCTCTCCTGTGGCCAGGACTAAGGAATGTAGCACTCAGTGGGGTTCAGTCCCACTGTGGGTGATGGGAGGGTGAAGGAGGGTCTCGCTGGAGTACATGCACATGAGCATGCCAGGCTTAGCCTTCCACCCATCTCCCAGAGGGGGACCAGGAGGAGCTGGCAGAGCTCATGTCAACCTCTCCTTCCCCAGCTGTGTTGTTACCCACAGTCTGCGATCAGCGCCCCTGCCATAACAGCCACTTCCTCCCTTAAATAGAGCCCAGCCAGGTGCCTGTGCTGCCTCCGAGCTGAGCTCCAGCACCCACTGAGACTGGCAGCTTTCCTGCACCCAGGGCAGCCATCTGCCTCACCTCCCACCTCTGCCCAGAGTGGTGTCAGCCTCTCTACCTGCATTTGGGGGCTGCTGCCTAGCTGCCATGGCTAGCTTTAATTGGTTGAACCAATTAATTGGTTGAAAGATTTACATCTGTTTTCTTCTCTCTCTCTCTTCCCCCCCTTACCCCCCTCACCCTGCTCAAACCTGCCCTCCTCTCCCTTCCCTGTCCTCCCACCCAAATAGGTAAGGAGAGCAGTTTGGGAGAGGCCGACTTGCAGCAGAGCTCTGACCCTTCGGGAATGGACAGCAGCTACCTCAGCGTGAAGGAGGCTGGGGTGAAAGTGCCCCAGGACAGGGCTAGCACGGACCTCCCCAGCCCCATGGACAAGGCCGACTCGGAGAGCAACAAGGGCAAAAAGCGGAGGAACCGCACCACCTTCACTAGTTACCAGCTGGAGGAGCTGGAGAAGGTCTTTCAGAAGACCCACTACCCAGATGTCTATGCCAGGGAGCAGCTAGCCATGAGGACAGACCTCACCGAGGCTCGTGTACAGGTAACGGGGGATGCCCGAGGGGTGGGTGAGCTGCAAACCAGCCCCTGCTCTCTGGGGAATGAAAACATAAGCCCTGCAAATGTGTTGTCCCATGCTGCGCCTGAGGTCACCTGCAGCCCCACCACAGCCTGCAGGCAGCCAAGCCCTAGCCAGAGCCCGTGCCGCAGGCTGGCACGCTGCTCCAGTGTGCTGAGGCACAGGGACAGGATGGGGAGGCACATCCATGTCTGACACTAGTTGGGCTGGTGTCCTGAGCTGCACTGTTCACAGAGAGGTGTCTTGTCCTTCAGCTAGCTGGGCAGCAGGTAGGTAAGCCTCACCGTCACCCTAAACAAATCTATTACAAAAACTACTTTCTTCAGAAGACTTGGCAGGGGACACGGGCTCATTAGTCTGAGTGGGAGGATGCTTTCCCATAGTATGGCCTCTTTCTGGCAAGATGGGGATGCAGAGCTGACCAGGATGTTCAGTACCAGAGAGCATGAGGTGATACAGGAGAGGCAGCTCTTGCCGCTTGCTTGGTTAAGCAGGCGCTGAGACTGCACAAAGCATGGTGATCTGGAGCAAAAAGGTGCTCCCACCATCTTGAGAGGAGCAGGAGAGTGAAACAGCCATGCTGCAGTCTCACTGCCTCCACCACACAGGTGCCAGCTCCCCTGAACTACCCTGGGGGTCCAGCAGAGACAAAATCCACATTAAAGGGAGTGAATGATTCTCTGAATGCTGGTCTTTGAGTCAAGGTTAAACCAAAGGTCTGGAAGAGCTCAGAAGCATTTGCAAAAAAGAGTGCCATCACTTGGAGTGGACATCTGCAGCTCACGCCTTGATGGCCATCAAAGGTCCCGCTGAAGCTTAGGTTCTCATTCTCCAGTCTAGCTAATCCTGTGACTTCCCGTCTGCAGGCATGTATCAGCTCACTACCCCCAGAACCTACATTAGCATTGAGAATAGCTGGTGTGTGGAGGCATCTGATTATCCTCTTATACCAGGAAGACTCCCAGGTCCAAGGCAGCCCAGCTTGCCCTCTGCTCTAACCTTTACAAATTGTTGAAAATAGTCAAAGCAGTCAGGCCAGCATCCTTGCATAAGTCCACTTTTCTCTGTACATTCACCAACAGTTTCAACTAGCTGCAGGATTTTTCTTGTCTGCTTGCCTAAATTGGTTTGCAGGGCTGGTGTGCTCTTCTTCCCTGCAGCTGTTTCTCTTCAGGCTGGACATGGCTGCATTTCAGTAGAAAGCAGCGTGATTCCCGTTGGTCCTGCACGTACGTGCAGAGCACTGCGGGATGGGCAGAGGAAGGCAGCACTACAAACGTCAGCTCTTTATTTCTGCCGCTGGACGCAGCCCTTGATTTCCCAGGGACACATCACAAGTGCTGGTTGGGGTCTCCTGGGAGGCCAGGCGCAGCATCGGGTTACTGACTGCACAGTCCATGAAATTCCTTTTCCTCAGGAATAAGAATGAGGTGCTGGAGGGTGGCGAGCTCCTGCTCGCCTCTGAGCCAGGGTGTGCAGCTAGCACGTCCCAGCTAGTGCGCAGGGCTGGCTAGCAGAGCCAGGGCAGGCAAGGCAGATGCAATCCACAAGTTTATTACATATGACCCACAATCTCAGGGGTTTTTTTCCCCACTTTACCCCTGGATAACACTGTGGCCGAGGGCAGAAGCACTTCCCCATGCAGCCAGGAGGAAATCTGGCAGAGGAAGGGGGCAGCCCGTGGGTTTCACCCTGCCCTGAGATAAATGCCCCAGCAGCCTGCCACCATGGGCAGCCGAGAACAGCCTCTCTGCTCTCACGACCGCCACCTTGCACCTCTCACTTCAGATGGCGATGACAGGGCTCATGTAATGGAGCAGCTGAAAGACTTGTCTAAGTGGCCTGGCCGCTTGAGCACTTACCCCAGGGTGAAAGGGGTTAGCACTTGCATTTCACTCCTTCCCCCAGCCCCACTGGGAAGGACCCCATCCCTCAGGCTGCAGGCTGGCACCCAGCCACTGCCCCATGATGAAGGGCTGCCACACCGTTGGTAGAAATGCTGGCTCCGTGTCACTGGAGAGCGAGAACCAGCAGGCTCGTACCAAGCGCTGTGGGTGCTTGGCTGGGCTCAGGGGGACCCCAGGTACCAGGTATTTCATATGGGTTCCCAGGGTGCTGGGGCTGCCAGCTGGCAAGCTGCTTAGCTTCAGCACAGTGGTGGCAGCCCCCGGGAGGCACAGGGACACAGCCTGAGGTGGCATAGGGCTCTTCTGATGGTACAGGGCTGAGCTTCCCACAAGGGAGGCTTTCAGGACTAAGGCCTTAGTGAATCACCCTAGCACCTGTCTCCAGCTCAGGGTTGTGTTATAGCATGTTTAGGCTTGGCTTTGGCCTCCCACCGCTCTGGGCGGCTCTGCTTTGCGGGGGCCTCCCCATGCCAGCACTGCAGCACTGAGGGCATCAGCTTACAGCTGAAGAGCAGGCACGGACGTGGGGCAGCAGCCCAGGAGACTGATGACGAAGCAAATGCCTACTGCAAGGACCAAGGACCCAACCAGGGCCAAGGCAGAAAGCGGAAATCACAAATAAGCCACAAGTCGCTTGCTTCTTTCCTTCTGCAAGCCAAAAAGCAGCTATGTACTCAGATGCCCTCCATCAAGCTGGCAGGGACTCTGGCTGCTGTGGGATGTCTGGGCACACACAAACTGCAGCCCCATGGACTTTGAGGGGAGCTCAATTGTCCCTCTCCCAAGGAAGGTACAGTCCTCTAAGGGGTGGTGAGTATCTTGTGATAATTTCATGGAGGCCACCTTCAGCTGCCTGCGAGACTGAACTAGGCAAAGCAGAGCGGCAGGAAGGTGAGGTGCCCAGCAGGTTTGAGGTGTGATGCTCCCTCCCATGGCTGAGCCAGCTTTTGGCTGGAGGTCATCCCCTTTGGCCAGGCTCAGCTCCCTGAAGAGTGGAACCAGCTGCTGCGCTGCAGGCAGAAGCAGATGCGGAGCCCGGACAGGCAAGTGGCAGCTCTGTTTTTTCCCATCCCTTTCCCAAGCTCACGCTTCATTAGTGAAATAGCTGACAGAGATCTTAGTGCCTGAAGAAGAGCTCGTGCCAGTAGTGGGCACAGGGAGGGCCATGCTGTCTGTGGAGTGGTGGCATCCTGCAGCCTGATCCCTCTCCTGCTCCATTTCACGGCCTGCCTTGGTTTCCAGCTGTCAGTGCTGGTGTCTGACAACGCCAAAGCTAGTTCCCCCTGCAGTGTTATGCAACATTTTCCCTGATGCCCCCCACGATCTTGCCCCTTGTTGCCAAGTACTATTAAGCTACTGCAGGTCCCTCTTTTCTGAAGTAGGAGCCACGCGTAAGTCCTGCGCAGAGCCACCCAGCCAAGGAGAGGCTGCTAGGGCTCAAACAAATCTGCAAGGGTGTGCAGCAGGCACTGTTTTCATGTAGGTCCCACACAGCGTGCATATCCCATTCCTTTCTCCTCCTCTTCCATGTCGGGGGCTGCAAAGCCCCAGAAAGAGCTCCTGTTTGGTACCAGCAATTGCCTGAGCTTCTTCCAGCCCATCCAGCGCTGCAGCAGATGTCCGAGGTGGTGACACTAAAGAAACATGGTAGGCACACATGTATATTCACATGTGGCTCCTTCCCCTTGCATGCACACACATATACACACCTCCAAGCCCACGCCAGCCTGGCCTTGGCTGTTCATCTCTCTTGGGCTGTGAGTATCTCTGCCTCCTGGTCTGCCCTGTGGCAGAGGAGAAAGAGATGGGGCTGGAAGGAGGCTTCATGACCAGGGAATATAACCCCTCAGCCAGCCCCCCTCAGAGCCAGCATTATGATTGCTGGGACCATTAATGAAATATTTTCGGCGGTGACCCTGTGATGCAGCAGGGGCTTGAAAGTGAGAGGGAAATGTCAAACTCTGCTGTAGCAAAATCACCGCCTCAGAAAAAAAAGAAAAAAAGCAAAGCAAGAAGTAATATATCTTGATCCCTTTTCCCCCATAAAACCCTGGGAGGCTGGTGGAAGGAGCGGAAAGACTGAGCTAAGCCTGCAGGAAATTAAACATGAAATGAAAACAAGCTCAAGTTATTCAATTCTCTCATCCCAGGCTCCAATTTCCCATTCCAGGCCACTGATAAAATGGTGTCCAGTTTCAGCAGTCAAGGATGAATTCTGGCTCTGTTCTTGCAGGCTGGAAAGCAAAGGACTGGTGGCCATCTCTGGGAAGAGGGGAAGCAGCCTGGCCTTTAGCAGAAGGATGGGGTCCTGGAGACAGACAGACAGCCAGGAGGCTGAGCAGAGGGAGGAGAGCAGTGGGGCTGGCGGACAGGGATGGGCAGAACAGATGCTGTGAGGCTGCCAGAGGAGAGCGGGAGCGCGTGAGGCTTGAACGCGGTGGGCAGCTCTTGCCCATAGCCGGGCAGCCACGTAGCGAGGGTGGCTTGAGCACAGGGCATGGGGCGCCGGGATGGATCTGGCCCCGCAACTGCCACCAGCCCACCGTCGCGCATGCAATGGCTAGCCTCGCCCCCTGCATTGCTGCGCTGGGGCGGGTAGGAGAGAGGGGAATTCACCTTCTTCTTTAACTTAGAGGAAGGATGAATGCAGCCATGTAGTCCCCAGCCATGGCCAGAGGGGCCTGGGTGAGGTCCCAGCTCAGCCCATCTACCCACACCCTGTGCGGGGCGCGTGGGGCTTGGTGGCAGGGCCGGACCGGCAGCACCGGGTGGGTGCCAGGGTGGCCACAGCAAGACAACGAGCAGAAGCCTCCTGCTTTCTTTGTCTTAGGCTGTTCCTGGCCTCTCCACCCCCCGCAGCATGTCAGCTGTGTATGCATATGGATTTAGGTACCAGCATATGGCTGAATGTTTATGGAGACATGAAACATTTTTTGTTCTGTAGATTTTTATAGGTCTGATTGGGTACATCAGGGCTTATCAGAGCATTGTCTGCAGGAGTCAGATACATGACATTACCCTACACTCCCACTCTAATTGTTAACACTGAGATGCAGCCTGCAGCAACTGCTTATCCCTGCACGAAGTACCCCATCCTGACCCCAGAGGACACGCTGCACGGACTGCTGCAACCTCAACTGTCACACCCCATCCCAAAGCTGCTTCTCTTGACGAAAGGTGACAGGCAATGAAAGGAAAATGGACTTTTGTTGGGTTTTAGATTTGCTTTTTAAAAGCAGGTGTCTTCTAAGGTTGAGGAAGCCAAGAAATACTTAGGATTAGTTGGCTTTTTGCTGACATCTTCGCATTATACATTGCCCTGCCTGCCCTCTTTCCCCTGGAGCACTGGAGAAACCTGACTGCAAGATACCAAATGGCCTAAAAGGTCTTGGACCAGAGGAGAAAGGCGAAATTTAAAAAGAGGTCCAAACCTTGTTGCAAGCGTTTCAGAGCAGTGGCTCACTGCCAGCCCTCAGAGCATCTCCAGTGCCCCTGGCACCAGCACCTGGACTGAAGACACTCTTCAGCCTAACAGCTTCCCAGCCCACCAGCTGCGTGGGGATTGCAATTTGGGAGCTGCCAGTTTAAACCATTTTGCTCTGCTAGTGCCAGTTAGATCCAAGGTGTAAAAGAGAAGCAGAAGAGGAAAAGCCTGTGCTGGAGACACTGTTCCACCTCAGCCGGCCC